TTATGATTACAATCAAAGTCCAACGGACTGGGTATCAGCAATATGGGTAATGTGTTGTTAGTTTCATACCTTAAATAAAAACAAACCGAGTTCATTTTTAAGCACCGACCCTTAATCCCGATGAAACCGAAGACGATCATCGAACATAATAATAGATATCTCAAATTGATGTAAGAATTTCATTGAATTCTTATTTACAATTTTCTTTTCGGCACTAGATTGCCCGAAAGATAGCCTCGTATTTGTTTATAGTTAGAAATCAGGGTTCTGGGGGCATTAGTTAACTTAGTAACTTAGTATTCCATTACGAGTGTTGCAAGGCTGTACGTATGGACCAAGGTTATACTCCTATCTATAGGTAATTATAGTCATTCATTTTATGATCGTAAAAAAGTAATTATAGTCATCCGTGTTTAGTTTTGTCAAGGTAAAAATTTGGATAATTTTTTCTATCTATCCGGGTGTATCTTCCTTTGCGAAAACTAATACATTGTAAATCGTCTATTTGATTATATGACTTATTAAAGTCAACCGCTAGATAGAAAGACTGATTATTAAAGATTAACAGAATCTTCCACTGGGTATGGAAGTGGTTAAAGAAGAAAAATATGGATCAAGCTATGTTGGAACTTACGTGGTACAAAGCTTGCAAGCAATGTAACCGTATGTCGGTACATAGAATTGGCAAAGATGGAAGACGTTTTTCTCTAAGCTAGGGAAACAAAGACATGGATATATTTAAGGTCAAGAACAAAGGTTCCAATATCGTGTGACTAAACAGTCCTTTATTTGATGTTTTTATGAAAACTGTTGGAAAATTTCTTTAAGGGAAATTTAATTTCGGCTTATTGAAGCTGATTGGGAGAGCAAGTGGGCACTGGAAGGCGATTAGTCGTCCCAATTTGTTTGTAGACTGCCCTTGGCTAAAGGTAAGGGGGATTTACAGTGTTCAACGCAGAGACCAAGGAGATGATGAAGTAACTTTATTAGCAGTCTAATGATATTATGCTGCTTTATTGCACGACTCAGATATTGCCAAAAGCCTTTGTTTATAATTCTTCATTTACATCTGCGGCAAGAAACAGTGGAATGAGTTAATACATTTTACGACTGATCAGGTAGAGAAGTACTCTTCGACTCCACCCCTCCCGGGCCTTCACGAGGTGTCTCTTATTTAAAATTCAGGCTGGATGACTGAGTAATGATTTATCAAGCAGCGGAACGGGATTGACGCGCCAAAACCCTTTTGAACTTGTGAGAGCAGACGATGATGTTGTTGGCCGCAAGGCTGATTACTTACACTGGTTTATGTATAATACAAATTCCTATCTGGTAAATTTTACCTATGGGCAACAAAAAGATTCAATAGCAATAAATCATATTAAATGTATATGGCAATGACTTTGATGTTGATAGCGTTGGCTGGACCAAGTTATTGGCTGACGAGTTGGAGAAGCTCTTTGTCTGTCATTCGATACTCTTTATTAAAACTAATATTCATATTGAGAGGATTTTATATTTCATAACCAACACACAGATTGTTTATTTGTCCCGGGGATAAAAATGATTGGGTTTATCATAAACTACAAATTGCCCATTAGCCGATACAATCTGACGTCGAACTGCTTTCATCACCATGATTATTCTGTGATTAGTTCTAAAATAAAAACTGATTGCTTTATTCAATCTACAGACATATCAATAAAATCCCTGTTTGTTCAAACAATATTACAAATAATTCCCCTTTGAAAGAAGATTTATATAGGAATAGCATAATGATTAAGCATAGTCTAAATGAGTGCATTTTTATGGAGGCGGATTTTAAACTCTTCATTTTTCAATTTTGATATATCGTAAGTATAAAAACGTCATGTGCCATTTAAATAGTTTGAGCACAACTATGTAAAATGTTTCCGTATTTCTAATATAGTACATTCACCAAAATGTCCTTTCTTTCATTTATTTCTGAAAAAAACTATGATACAGGTTTCAAGTTAACATGCCCACCCACCCCGGCCACCTTTACAAAAGACACAATTTTTGTCTTTGAAAAACAAATCACATATGTATGCAGTATATCCTACAGGTGAAATATTAATTGAAAAAAGTTTTGCTGTATTTTTTAAATTAAAAATAATCAAAAAAATATGTATATGTGCAATATTATGTGTGATTCACAACAAATTCTTTTCCTTAAGTTATTCTTATTAATAATATAATAAAGTGGTACCTAGTCCAAAACATAACATAGATAAAAATGATGCGTTTTAGACACTTGAAATTTACCCAAAAAATCTAATTCACAAACATCCGCATTAAAAGAACTCATAGAAATGAAATAAAATCGCTCTTTAGGCCCCAATCTTCAAAATAACCTTCGGGTATATTCGTTTATTGAAAAAGATGATGGTGGTTATTATGAGCTCCTGCTATAACAAGTAATTAGAACAGAAATAACCACAAAACCGCGAAAAAACACAAAGGCGAAAATATTGGAAGTCTTAAATGAATAATATACCCGATGATGTAGAAAACATGATTTGCAGATGAAGCTGTGAGAGTTTCGGATTAGTCAAGATCGCCAATTTGTTAGAACCAAGTTGGTTCTGATCACATCAAGAAGGGGCAAAGGTCGTGAATGCGCGCGTGATCGCTATAATGAAATACTAAAGTGTGAAATCGGGCATTCCATAAAAATCTCTCATTAACCAGAATTTGTGTGAAAATCGTTCATGGTGATCCAACGTATATAGCGGTAATTAAAACTTAAGTAGGGTGACTTGATAGGAAATACGAAACTAAGGTTGAAGTGTTTCTTTGTTTATTTCTTAAAGAACATCTTGGATGATTTTCTTTTCAGAAAAACATAGTCCTGGGATTAATGTTCCATCTTATATATCTGCATCATAACAGATATTAAAAGAAATAGTTATCAATACATGAGAATATGCGTCTTGTTAACATTTGTCTAAATGTAAGTCCTGGGGGAAATCTATCATATATATATATATATTTTTTGATTCACAAATAAAATTAATGTTTACTTCAATAACAAATATTTAACACCATGTTATAAGAGAGTATATAGAGAATCTCCTACCAGTCTTTTTTGATATCAAAAAATATCAACACAAGTTGATAAAGTAACAAAAAACGAGACTCTGCCAAGTTTTTTTTAATTTATCAACGAGTGTTGATATTTTTTGATATCAAAAAAGACGAGTAGGAGATTTTATTTATCACCCATACCCTTCTTACATGCACAAATAGATAAATATAATTCTTTGCTATAGATTTCACTTTTACTGAACATGGCGTAGTGATACATCATTTTTTGACAGCAAGTAAACCATTGCAAAGTCCTTTATATTGGCCCAGCGTTTCCATCAAGGTCAATTGAATAACAATAGTTCATTTTTAAAAAAAAAGTTACTTTTTATAAGAAATGAACTGTTATTTGAAAATAAAAAAAAGTAGTTCCTTTTCAACTGACCAATCAAATTCATGTAAAGCGATGCAGTAGATTATGAAATATATCACACAAGCGATATCTACTGTAGAATGTATTATTGGGTGATAAATTATACTATACCAATGTGCTAAACTTCGGTGTTAACGCAAGTGTTAGCTTACATATATCGTATGCAATTACGTGATACCTTATTTAATGTAAAATTGAACAAAACATATGTTACAAATATAAATATCAAACTATGATTACCAAAAACGTATATTTTTAGATTAATGATTTATTTACATTGTTGGATTAAAAACGTGACCAAAACACAAAAACGTGTAGGTTAAAATTCCATAATTTCTATTATCAAAGAGAGAAATAAGTCAAAAACTTTAAACTATGATTTAACAGATATCGTCATATTATTAATTTACATACAGAGGTGTGATTAAATTTATTCTGACTGTGAAATAATTTATAGTTTAAAAGAAATAGAAATCATTTATATAACGGGTTAATTTTTAAAGTTATATTCGGAACTGTTTAAATTTTCATCTGATACCACGAAAAAAAAATATATGAATAAAAAATACAAATAAATAAACAAATACACCAAAAAAAGATATATTATAACTAAATATTCGGAACTGTTCGAATTATCCCCCCGATACTACGAAAAAAAATACTCCCTTTCCATAAGAAATATATGACTAAAAAATACAAATAAATAAACAAATACAACGGAAAAACATATAACTAAATACTCCCTCACCACTAGAAATATATGAATAAATGAAATATCCTATAAAGAATCCCCCCCCCCCCCATAAGCTAGCACTAGGTATATTTTTAGATTTTTCTAAAAAGATGATGTATTGCACGACTTGCATGTTAATAGATACATGTTGTCAGTTTACTAAATATCATTAGCATCTTCTTTTTATCATAATTAGCCTCGGATCTTATTTTGTCTGAATCCCATTGTTAGCGTAGACGTATATTTACCCTAATTTGTCACGCCGATGTTCGTCTAACAACCGGTATGTCAAAACGTATAAATTACAAGCCTCCAAGTTCTTCTTCTAGTCTGAAATCAGAAAAGGGAATTTGAGATTAAACCAGTGCGATACATAACGCCTGCGCGTGCGACCAACGTGAGGCGAACGAAATTATAAACGCCAACCTCCTAGTCGCCTGCTTCTGATAACGTGAGACGTAAAAAATGCAAAATGTGCGTTCGTTCGGCACGTGTCTAAAAAGTATATGACAGATCACGCTAGATCTGGAAGTGATTTGAGCAAGATCATCTCCGATAGCCTTGTAGAATTTTTAATGGTTTTCTACCTGTTAACAATTTTAATTGATGAAAATAATACAGAATTTCCCTCGGCATCTGTTTCATGGGTCGTTTTGTTGTAACTTTTCTCGTCTGGAATTTAATATTCATATGTCTTAATTAATGACTTTAGCAGGAACAACGTTTTAACGTCTTAATAATCATGAATCACTAAACTGAATAATCATACCCCCTTTCTTCTTTTAGAGTCGTGGTTTTGCTGACTAAAGCTGACGGAGTGGGCCCAACTATTCTAGGATGATATTCAAGGTGCAAGCTTACTATTTGTGTGTTGACGAACTTCAACGCTTAGAGTTACATCACCAACGCTTAGAGTTATGTCATCCAAGCTTAGAGTTATCGCAACATATTACCATTTCCTTCCTATCAGGAAAAGTTTGAAATTGATTTGCTGTTTCGAAGATGCAATAAATGAATCATGCTGCTTCACTTTTATTGTCATTATGAAACATTTTACAAGAAAGATATTTAATAATACTGTTTGTCATTTCGATTTCGTATTCATACTTATTATTATTAGGGTCTGTCGAGTACTGCATTGTATAGTGTACCGGGAATTCTCGTATTTAAGCCCTGGGCTTAATTTCGAATTTGACCATGTCAGTGATGAAATATTTCTTCTGAAATAAAGCCCAGGGCTTAAATTCGAAATAGGAAAAAACGACAACCATTTGGGTTTTTTTTATAATTTTAAATAGAACGAATCAAATTCATCAACACAACTGTGATACACCGTCACATAAATGTTCTGAAATACAAAAAGAAACTGTCCATAAACTTTAAATTTCAAAGTTCTTTACAAATCAGATCTCAGGGCTAGCTTTTACTAGTATGGTGAGCATCCATTACCCATCAATGTCCTCGTCTGAACTGGAATCCTCGAACGGGTCGTCACTGAGTTTGTCCTCGAATGGCAATACAAGACCGGAGTGTGACTGGAGAACATCTCGTAGCCTGTAGTTCACATGTGGTTTGAAAATTTAAAAGCTAGACCACTCTAAAATAAATTTTAAATTTAAGCCCATGGGCTTAAACTCGAAATTTAAACTCGTTATTTAGCCCATGGGCTTAATAACGGCAGGGCTTAAATACGAGGATTCCCGGTAGTATGACTTATTTTTATTAGTCTATCGAGTACTGTATTGTATAGTATAGTATTATGTCAACCATATTACACGTAAACCTGTCACGGCTACAGTTGCTTTGAATTGAAAGAAATAAGGAATCTAGTCGAATCGGCTACCGAGTCAAACCGCCAAACCGTAATTCGCCATGTTAACGCACCACCCGATTAGATTTTATTACATACTTCGAGAAGGTATTTGTTGAGTAATAAAACCTTCTAGTAGTTTATCGAGGGCTGGCCGTCCTTACCGCACGGTAGAAATAAAACCTTCTAGTAGTTTATCGAGGTTCGGGTGCTTCCGGAGTCCAAAATGGCCGCTTTATATAAATGAGAATTTTGGGGATAACTAACCCGAACCCTAACCCTAACCCTTTTTAAAAGACTGAACTTGGGTCTAATTTAGTTTTACTTTTCTTAAAAGGGTTAGGGTTAGGGTTCGGGTTAGTATTCCCCTAAATACTCATTTGTATAAAGCGGCCATTTTGGTATGAGTTCTGGCTTGTTCTGGAATTTGTTGCTTCTAGTGGTGATAATATTTGTACCGTGCGGTAAGGATGGCCAGCCCTCGATAAACTACTAGAAGGTTTTATTACTCAAGGTTTTATTACTTCTCGAAGTATGTAATAAAATCTAATCGGGTGAACGCACCGTGTTCACGGTGTTCCTGTTTGTTTTTACTGTAAATAACTATTATCTTGTCTTCTAGTGTCACAGGTCATAGTATCTTCGGACTTTTGTTACATTAGCACTTGATTTAATGACCCATTACGTCATGATGACGTGGTATGTTTCTGACACTAAAAGTAACAAACTTGAGTAACGGTAAAATCAAAATTTGACATGATTTGTATTTATTTTTGGGAAACTGGAAACATGCCAAAATAAAAATCAAAGTGCTGTTACTAAAAAAAAAGAACGTCTTGGGCCAAAAATTATCGAAATCGACTAGTTCCTTGCCACTTGAACTTTACATTACATATAGTTTCTATTAACTTTACGATGTCCTTTTTGAGGTAAATAAAATAATGTAAATTTATGCTATTCAAAACTAGGCTGTCCATTCTTTATCCAGTGGCGCTGCAAATATCATACTGTACGTCTGGTTAACCATGAGTTCCCGGGTTCGATTTACTGTATTGGTCATGAAAGCTCCTTGGGAGTTTCCAGTCCCGCATCTGCTTGCAAGTTGTCCCGGACAGATGAAAAGCATAGGTCGTGCATACAAGTCGTAGCGCCGCTGTCAGGGCAAAATTCCCCTCATGGAACGCTGACTGGGGAATACTCATATTTATTAGCACGACTGAATGACGCGGACATTCATTTAATCTCATTTGATTTATTTATACATAGTTTTATACTAAATCATTGTACTTAAAGGAACAGAAATTCGTCCGTACATCTGTTATCAATCGATACTTCAGTCAGTTATATAGAAGAATAACTCTTGTTTTCCATTTTTTGTTTCACTTCCGTTTCTTCAAATCTTTAATTAGAATCAACAAATTTACTGTAAATATTTGACAATTGAAATATTAATAATAAATGTTGTGTTTAAGATTGCAACGTATAAAGATAGCATTACTGCATGCCGAATCCAATAATAAACTTCAAATTTGTTGTTAATTAGATTAAAAGCAGTCAGAGGAGAATGCGGCGCATTATGTTTAAAGGAGCTAAATCGCTAATATTTGGGATCTAGAAATTGACACAAATGGGTCGCAACGCATATAATAGTGTAATATGAATGTATATAAACTGATTTACATTCAATCGTTTCTGTTTTTACTGTAATTTCTAATCAGTTATGTTCGACGAAATACGCCAGAAGTCTCAATTGAAGAAGTCCTTAACGTCTGGTTATTCCAGTCTAAACCGATGGTATTTATTGCGCATGCTCTCCAGATAAGAATAAAGCGTCACCATTTGACATGACTTTTGGAATATGTCTAGCCTCGTTCATTGAGTCCCTTGTTCCGAATGGCACTGAAGCGCATTATGGTACACGATTCGTATACCAAAGACAAAATCTTTATTTTGTCTTGACTATTGGATATCAGAAGCCCATCTTTTCCCTGTAAGGTCACAAGACCAATGTTGATTTGAATTGACAAATAATTGGTGTTTTCAATGTCGAAGATTTTTTAATGATATTGAGTTAGAGACTTATGTCAAATGGTGACGCTATTTTCTTATCTGGAGAGCATGCGCAATAAATACCTACGGTTTAGACTGGAAAAACCAGACGCTAAAGATTGTCTTCAATTGAGACTTCTGGCGTATTTCGCCGAACATAACTGATTAGAAATTACAGTAAAAACAGAAACGATTGAATGTAAATCAGTTTATATACATTCATATTACACTATTATATGCGTTGCGACCCATTTGTGTCAATTTCTAGATCCTAAATATTAGCGATTTAGCTCCTTTAAACATTGACAAATATGAAAATACCGAAAATTAGTGTAGCATAATATTAGACATGACATCCTTAAAACATTAGAATTTAAAAAATGAAATAGTAGCCCCAAAGTCGTTTGATTGTAGATTCTTTTTTTTTCTCCATAGAATACCGTCTTCATTCGCCAGTCGGCGCAGATAAATGGGACGTTAAACCCAATTTTATTTTATTTCTCCACAGGACAAGAACACATTTAACTTCGATAAATTGATTACGGTTTACACCTTGGCTATTGGCCCTAATGCAATGTATTCAGAGGATAGAAACCACACGGATCCGATATTTTACGGACAAGTTTTTGTTGTTGTTGACAGAAGATTGTTGTCATTGTTTTATAAAGAAAACAATATCGCAATTCCAGCTAAATTAATTAAAAAAACAACCTGGTGGTTAATTATACGCATGCGCATATTTTCGCCCATCTTACCAAACACTCAAAATGGAACGAAATGATCATGTCATGCAAGAAAATTCCATTCAGTTCCATTTTTGTCTGCAAATAGACATACTGAATACTGTATATACGGATCTGATTTTAAATCTTGGGTTTGTTTGGTCTATCACTCTCGGTCGCCGTGAATCGGTTAGTCTCTTTGAGAGGAAGCAAATCGTATTAAAGAAATCTAACTTTATAAGAAATCCGGTAATGTAATGAAGAGAGTTTGCTGAGTTTGAGCACGTCAGACGAGGTTCAATATTACAGTTTTTCAGACGAGTGAAACATTATCTACATTAAGCCTGGGGTTATACACTTTAATTATTCTCTGTTTGATGTGAACGATCTGGAAAGGAAGATAAAAATTTTCTTCGCTATATGCCCCTTTTCTGCTGGAGGGTAGGAGATGTTAACACAAGTCGGGGAGAGATGTTGCCTGTTTGTTCGCCTTCAGCCATCGTATAACGGACTCTAAAAGCCCATATCTTTGCCTCTCTTTATCACCTTCGACCAAAAATGTCGGTAGCCGGAGGTGCCGTGATCAGCGTAAGACAACTGACAGTTTGCTGAAAGTGAAGAATTTAGACAAAAATTAGAGAAATAGTAAAGTTGTCGTTTTTCTTCGTCATTTCTGCCACAGCTAGCATTTATTTTCTTCTCCATATTAAATGGACACTTATCGTGTATAACGATTAAACCCCCGGCCATTATGTACGGACCATATCGTGGTTGATAAGAAACAAATGACTACCTATCATCTACATATGATATACCATTATATTAAGTGAGTGTCATAGAGTGACACCCTGACAGTGCCAAATCTACATGTGCAATTTAGCATATTAAAAGAGCCTAAAACCATCCACATACACTAACTCTGACAGCATATTGAAACATCTTCGTCTATTGTTTCACACTTATACGTAATTGTTACAACTTTACTTACGGGGATGAGATTAATCGGTTGTGAATAGGTCAATATGTATAAGTATATGTCTTCAGGTTGGGAATAATCTGACATATTTAAATATACTGCTCCAAGTCCCTTCAAGACGTTTAGCTTAGGCTATTCTATTACAATCTTCTTGAGTGTCACTTTTAATAATTAGATACAATATACAGATATTAATTATATGAAGTAAACGTTACTTATATAATCATTATGATATGAAGTTATTTCAATGAAACTGAGGAAAGGCACTTTAGATAATAAACACCCATAGTTGTTCTATACGCCTGTAGTTGTTTCACTTTAAATATATCACACGTCCATATGTCTGTAGTTGTTCCACTTTAAATAAATAAACGTTTGTAGTTGTTCCATTTAAAATAATAAACGTCTACAGTTGTTCCACTTTAAATAATAAACGTCTATAGTTGTTCCACTTTAACTGTCTATCATTGTT